CGATTCAATGGTAAAGTAAGTCTCAGCTTTATTACTTATCACCCTTTATGATTGGTGATAAGTGGCTCATAGAGGCAGAGTCTATTGTGACAGGCACAGTACATGCACATATTAGGAGACAGTCCCTAGCGGAAGAAGTTATAGTTTAAATGGTAGGACAGACTAAAGGAAGGAAGAGAAACAGACCCAAGGTAGATTAAGCAACTTGCCCAAGGTTATATTGAAGTAGAGCTGGTAGAATGTAGGTGTTCTTTCTCCTAGTCTACTACTGTATTTCAACCTGTAGAACCCATGAAAAGGGCCAGTAAGTCATTCCTAGACCTTGTTGAAAGAGCAAGCAGAAACCATGCTGATCATTGTAACTAAACACATGTGTGTTTAACACTGCTGACTCCAATTCTTGGTTAAGAAATATTCTCTGGGAGTATAACATCAGCTGTGTGGTATTGTGTACGGAAGAGGGAGCATACCCAGTTACATACTGGTTTTTGAAAGCCATATCTGGATATCTGGGAAGCAAACAGGGGCACACCTCTTAACTCAGCTAAAATAAATTGGACATCATGAGCTTGGTGGAGAGACAGAATAGTAAAGAAACTACTACCTATTTTGTTTAAAAATCTCTCTATCTCTCTACACACACACACATGCATGTGTGTATAAGCTGTTCCTTCTTGATAGGGCAATACAGGCACCTGATATACTTGCCTGGATCTCCTCAACAAAATGGTTCACTGTTTTCCTGAGTACTTAGGAAGAAAAGTGCAAAGCCATTTGACAGTCAACAAAACAGCTACCCAAGCTCACTCTAGCAGCACTGCTTCAGTCTTGCTTCCTTATGTTCTTCCAACATGATCCACGCAAACAACTAGATGCCCTCAAACAGAAGGAGACACCCCCAGCCAAAGCTAGGCTAGATTTGGCAAGTGTAGAGTGAATATGAGATAGAAACAACAGTTTTCACATGTTGATATCCAAACATCTCTAGCTAATAAGAATACAACAGCCCTCAGTGACTTCTAATTTGTCCACAGGCATATGTGGGAATTCATTATTTTTGGTTACTGGATTAAATTGTGCATGCCATATTAGAGATGAAGCTGGTATTTCTATCTGTCACAAAGTGGCTTGGTACTTCTCTTTAGAATATCCTATTTGCTTATAACTTTTTTGAATGGTTCATGTCTGGTAACTCCTTGTCCACTCACTCCCAGCACCAGCCTTTTCCCAAACTTTTTTGGAACATTTAATCCAAATAGCCAAGCTGTTTCCAAGAATAAGATCCAAGAGAAGCATGTTTTGCTTTGTAAAAAAAAATAAAAAAATCTTGCAACCATTTTGTTTTAACAACCCTGTGTCTTAAAGGAAGAACTTTAAATTTGCTGGGCAAGAGTTGTCTTTATTCATGTTACTGTTTTCAGAAAAATATGTACAATTTTGGCCAAGTTATGGGACTTTGCAACATCTTTTTGTTCCTGCTCAGTACTAATATGTAGCTCTTACATAGTATTTTTCATCAACAGATCTCAAAATGGTTTGCAATGAAGGCAAACATTATTATCCCCATTTTACAGATGGGGAAACTGACAGAGAAGTGAAATAACTTTTCTGCAGTGATTCAGCAGACCAACGGCAGAGCCTGGAATAAAACCCAGGGGGCCTGAGTTCTAGTATTATGTACCCTCATTTGGGCTACACTGACCACAGTAACATTTAGTAGAGCTTTACTGCTAATTTGGAGATCTGTGTTTTGGGGACCCATATTTGAGGGCCCAAGTTGCTGAAGGACATGATTAGAAGCTTAGCTTCCTTTTTAAAAAAGTGTTGAGTGCTCATGGTTGTGAAGAAAATGTTGAAATCATGACCCAGGTGTTACTGATGTGCTGATGCTTAGCACTTGCTTTGGCAGCATACATGCAAAAAGAAATCCGTAAGGAGCCTGGAGCAATGTGTCTGAGAGAGGTGAATTGCCCCATATATTTGTAATGCAGTGTTAACTGCAGGAATCACTGCTGTGGGAAAGTCCTCTCAACACTGTCCTGAGCTGGTATATGTGCCACACTAGGCACTCAGGTTGTGAAGTGCCTGTTTCTGAATTGTTTTGGTGTGGCCCGGCATATCTCTGCACCTTCTTTCTCCTCCTCCTTCCTCGGAATATGATCTCTGCTTTCCCTGCTTTAGCAAGCCCTTCTAAACCAATTGTGTTTATAGTCTACTGTGGATTGTTTCACTACGCTAGGAGGAGCTCTTTCTCCATTTCATGTCCTGTCTCCCTGTTCAGCTAACTGCTACTTATGGCCAAATCTTTTGTACTTGTTCTGTTGTTTTTCATGAGGCCTGGCTACTCTGGTACCAGCTCCTTAAATCTCTTTTGACCTTCTTCTCACTTAAGGCAATTAATTTTTAGTGTGAGCTTCAGTTACAATAACTTTTTTAATATATATGTTGTATGCATTATCCCATTTAGACTCCTGCTATGTTGTATCTTCCCCCAACTTCTTGTAACCTGTGTATTTCAAAAGTTTTGAACTTTTTATTTGTTGTTGTCTTCATCTCACAATGAAGTTTCCTCTATGCATACCTGTTTCCTCTATGCATACCTCTATAAGTATTCATATGCAGTTTTGGTTTCCTCTATGCGTACCTAAACCTGCAGCTCACGGCATGTGTTTTTCTTAATAGGTAGTCCAAACAATGTCAATATAATTATTTCCAAACAGCCAGGTTAATTTCTGAGATTGTTGATATTAAGTCGAGTCACTGATTAAAAAATTGCATATAATAAAAATAGTATTTTTCACTTCTTCAATGTCTTTTAGTGGAGGAATCAGATATTAATAATGAAGCTTCAGAAGTCCTGAGTGCAAGCCCTGGGTTTGAATTGCAAGTTTATCTTTCTCCTGGTCATTACTGAAATCCTGTATTTTATAGTTTTTCCATCCTGAAGGATGCTGAGTGCTTTTGCACATGCACATGTGGAGATTGTATGTGATCACACATTACTTGACTGCAGGAATCTCTGAGGAAAGGCACAGCAGCTATTCTGCTCCAATAACAATATATACGTTTTTAAAGGGGTGAGGGAGAAGCACAGAATAACTTTGGAACCTGAGTTTTGGGGAGAATTTAAGTAAATTGAATGTGATTATCTAAATGATGATATATTCTGGCACCTGCACTAGATTTCATTCCATGTTGCTTTTTTTTTAATAGATGAAGCCAGAGACAACAAGTTCTGCCATGGCCTTGTGAACTGGACAAATGGAGATGAATCATGGACTGAATAAACTATTTGCATTTGTGACCCATGTCTGGAATCTGAAGTTTTTTCAAAAATACTGTAGTGGGGACTTTTATCAAATAACATGGAACTAGCTGGAGACTTTAGTTAAATTTAATCTATTTGTTGAGAGACTGAAATGATAAAAGATCATTTACTTGGTCAACACATGATTTTACTTTTTATCTCTAGAGAGCTGGAATATTAGACTTAGTGCTCAGTGTATAATCTGAAGCACAATTCTTCCTTCCATTCATAGCAACACTTTAATATTTTGTAATCAGTTAGCTAAATACTACCTTGGTTTGGCTTTGCCCCCATTACTTGAATAATTTCTTTTAATTTGGGTATTTCAAATTCCCTTCTGGTTTGTATCTGATAAGATAGTTTGTGACAAGTGGATTTGGTTAAAACTGTATTCCTCATATTCTTGTGGTGAAGTTGAATCATAAAATCATAAAAGATTAGGGTTAGAAGGGACTTCAGGAGGCCATCTAGTCCAACCCCCCTGCTCAAAGCGACTAGTCCCAACTAGATCATCCCAGCCAAGGCTTTGTCTAGCCAGGTCTTAAAAACCTCCAAGGATGGAGAGTCTGCAACCTCTCTGGATAACCTGTTCCAGTGTTTTACTACACTCTTAGCGAGAGAGCTTTTCCTAATATCTAACCTAAACGTCCCTTCCTGCAACTTGAGACTGTTGCTCCTTGTCCTGTCATCTGCCACCAGTGAGAACAGCCTAGCTCCGTTCTCGTTCGAACCCCGCTTCAGGTGGTTGAAGGCTGCTATTAAATCCCCTCAGTCTCCTCTTCTCTAGACCAAATAAGCCCAGTTCCCTCAGCCTCTCCTCAGAAGTTGTGCCCCAGCCCCTGACCGTATTTGTTGCCCTCTGCTAGACTTTCTCCAGCAGATTTTGCTTCAAACAGAAGGATGCAGCCCTGGGTCCTGCTCCTGTGACAAAAGCTTCCAGTTTCTTTTTATCTGGAGACAAGTGCGTTGTGTTTTGGGGGACCCTCCCCATCTACACCCCCCTTGCAAAGTCCTGGCTCTACCCAGGGGCACAGACTGACACCCACCACCTTTGTCGTGCCCACAAATATGGGGCGCCAACGTCTGCACGCCCGGCCTTTGTGTGGCCACGTCTCAAAGCAAGGGACCAGCAACGTGCTCGGCAGAGTCGCCCTTTGCCCCACGCAGCTCCCGGGGACTGGCGGGCCACCTTTGCCCCCCACCTCGCTGCAGCCTCCCTGGCAGGTAGCAGGCAATCCCCGCGCACGGTGCCTTCCGCCGAGCACTACAAGTCCCAGCAGGCCCCGCGCTGGGCTGCGCCTCGCCTCTGCCGGTGATTGGTGAGGGGGAAGGGCCAATCGCGGCTCGGGATGTTGCGCGGAGGCTCCTCCCCCTGCTCTAGGGAAGTGGGAGACTTTGTGGGGGGGAGGGGAAAAAAGGTTCCGAGGTCAGCGTTGTCGCGTGCGCGCGCTGCGGCGCGGGGGGGAGGGGCGGCGCCGTTCTCCTGGCGCTGCCGTCGTCAGTGCGCGGCGCTGCACTTGCAGGGCTCGGGTTTTGCTTGGCATCTCGAGAAAGACCAGAGCCAGGCCCGTGGTGCCGGGGGCTCCCCGGGCAGAGCGGGGAGGAGGTGGGTTCCCATGTAGCGTCCCTGGGGCCGCCCTAAGGCGTGTAGCTCCCCGCAAAGGACCTCAGCCCCCCCCCCAGACGCCCCCCCCCCCCCCCCCCCGCCCTGTGGCACCTGGTTGAGAGTCAGCGCCCCTCGGTGAAGGGCCCACGCGGCTGCCTGACTTCCGCCCTCACGTGGGTGTGCCTGTGCCCTGCCCGAGTGGGGGAGCAGAGGGGAGCTCTCTGTTTCGGGGCCCCTAAAGCAGCTCGGGTCAAGCTGTGGGAGGCCTAAAGCAGGTGGCAACACGAAGCGCGGCCTCTTGTGGGCTGGGATGGAGAGTAGGGAGTACAGGTACTTCCTCGCTTAACATTGTCCCGGTTCACGTTTGGTTATTACGTCGCTGAGCTGTTGGAGAACATACCCATTTAAAGTCGTGCAGTGTTCGGTTATAGCGTTTGGCTGCCACCTGCTAATAGGTAACGACTGTGACCTAACTGGATTCGCTTAACGTCGTTTCGTCTTTTTCAAGAACGTAACTACAACGTTAAGCGAGGAGTCGCTGCATCTGAAGTCCCAGACTACAGAGTCTGGGATGGAGGATGCTTGCTTGCCTGTAGTATCTGGGGGCGTCCCAACACCAAGTTCTCTGGGCTTGGGCCTGCCGTAGGATGCCTGCCAATGTGTTTGGGAGTATCCGAAGTCCCAGGGTGACGGAGGATGCTTGCCAGTTGTAGCATCGTACGTGGCGATTGAGTTCTGCCTGCTCAGTTGATACAGTTTTTGGAACAACTGAGTTCTGCTCAATTGATGCGATTTGGAACTGATTTGGCCAATTTGACCTGCAACACAAAATATATTATATTAAAAAAAAAAAAAGAAAAAAGTGGAGTGTAGACAGGTTAAGTTGATCAAGGCCTAGAGCATAAGATGAAGCATGCTTGGGATGAAACTCGCACACTGCCTCTCTCTCTCTTATTTAGCCTATAAAGGTGCATCTCCACTTGGCTGCCTACTGACTTTATGCTAGCGACCTCTCAGAGGAATAAAACGCAGGGTACGTGGCCCTGATGCTTAGCACAGGTGGTTCCACCGCTTACATAGAACCACAGCAAAGTCAGGCTGGAAGGGAGCTCCAGAGGTCTAGTCCAACCCCCTGCCTGAGGCAGGGTAGTCTTTATCCAAACCATCCCATCCAACCATAATCTAAACTTGACATAACTACAGGGAGGTGGGCACATGCGTGTCCTATTTTTAGTTCCCTGTTGTGGCATTCGCAAAGAGCCATTTTTTGGATTGTTCTGAGGTTCTGGTTAGGAAGCTGTAGGAGGTGTTTTCACGAGTCTGTCTGAAAGAACAAACTCAACATAGAGCCAGGAAAATAAATGCCTACGGCGCAGTTGTGCATATTTAATTTTGTTGCATTGGCTTTGCAAATACCAGCCATTACACTGGTATTGTTTATGCCTTGGTCGGACCCTTTTTCTTGCCATTCTAATCTTCCTTGTAAATAGCTAGAATAGTTAGAGATTTTTAAAGTCAGAAGGGGACCATTGTAATTATCCACTTTGACCCCTCTGCCTTTAATGTAACCCACAGGGCTCTTCTGACTTAATTCCTGCTTTAAGACCAAGAGCTGTGGTTGAACCAGAGCATATCTTTTAGAAAACATCCAGTCCTAATTTTAAAATTTCCAGTGCTTCAGAATCTACCACAGCACTTGTTAATTTATCCCAATGATTGATTACCCTCACTTTAAAAATGTTCATTTTATCTGTAGTCTGAATTTGCCTCGCTTCGTTTTCCAGCCATTGAATCTTGTTACAGTTTTGTCTGTAAGACTGAAGCAGACAAGCATATTTCATTTCTACATGTAGGCCCTTTATAGACTGTTCACAAATCATCCCATAACTTTATGATGGCTAAAATAACTAGATTAAGCTAATGCCTCTGGGGCTCCCTTCCAGCCTGACTTCTCTGTGGTTGAGTTTCTTCAAGGCATATATTTCTTTTTTACTTATTCTTTGGTTCTTCTCTGAACTCTCCAGTTTTTCAGTGTATGTCCTAAACTGTGGATACCAGAGCTAGAGCATATTCCAGTAATGGTTGTACCAGTACTCAAACTCCACATGCCTACTTAATACTCATTTGTTTATCCATCCAAGGTTTTAAGTGGCTGTTTTAGACATGCTGCCCTTCCTGGAGTTTGTGTTCAAGAGCCTTAAGTCCTTTTTGGTGTCACTTCTTCCCAGGATAGCACCTCATGCTGTAGGTATAGTCTGCGTTTTGTGCTCCTAACTGTATGACTTGACATCTGACTGTATTAGCATAGTCTGTATTTAACAGGAGCTGCTCTCTGATAATTTACACTGCCTAGTGTTCCAAAGATTTGTGATGTGACATGTTTGTTTCCATTCTTTAGAAAAGAAGAGTGTGCTTATTTGCATGTTGACATTTTCGAAAACTTTTTCTAGGTTTCTTTAGCTTTACCATAATTGATTTCCTATCTAGCAGGTTTGGGAACATGGCCAGTAAGAAACTGAGAAGAGCAGGATTGGCACAGGAGCTTTGTGAAAGGCTGAGTCGGCATCAGATCAATACCTGTCATGTGAGACTTTTCACTTACTGGATGTTTAGGTTAATTCTGTATCAAGTTTAGGATGCTTTATGGACTGTTGCTTTGTAAAAATTTAGTCATGAATCTATACAGAAGCATACTTGCTCAAAACCGACATACCTTACATTTATTTATTAGATTTATATCCTGCCCTTCTAAAAAGGCTCAGGGTAGCTTGCAATAAAAGAGAACAATTAAAGAAACAGAATAAAATACTAAAACAAAAAGGTATAACAAAACAAACTCCCTCCCAAGCCCCCCACAAAAAAACCCAATCCACTCATACCCTATACCCTTTTGCTCCCATTCCTCTTAACCAAGGAGAGTGTTTCCCATCTCCCCAATCCAACCAAGCTTTGCTTCGCAATCCACATTCAATACCTGTGTAAAAAGAAAACAACCATTCTGCGCCCACTTCCCTAGCCTTCTTTGCATATTCCCTTCCATTCCCACTCCTCTGTTGCACATGAAGCAAAGTCATTCCTCCTCTCCCCTTCTGCTGCTGTACTGTCCCCCAGGCCAAACCTCCCTCTTTCCAAGGGTTGTGTAGTTATCCCTAAATTCACTCATTCTCCCCCTTCCCTCCTCCCCCCTGCAAGGAAAAAAATGCCTCTTTTTCCTTGTCTCTGTCTTCACCAAAGGGCATTGCCAAGTGTTGGTATTCCAAAAAATCTTAATGTAGAGAATGCCACGTCCACCTGTGAAACACAACTACTCTTACATAGAGTATTTACCAGCATGTAGGAGTGCTATGTAAGGCTACATACCAGCAAGCAAAGAATATATTTAATTGAAACAAATAGTGGTTCTTTCTTCTTCTCCTTTTAACTTGGCTTTGTTAACTTGGTGTTCTGTGATTTTGATACACACTATTTCAGGGCCAGATCCTATAACTATCCATATGAGTAGGTAACTAACAGACACGAGCTCTCCGTGCAGAGATTGAAGTTCATTAGTATGGATCCAGTTGTAGGATCTGGCCCAAAGTGTGAAATCTACAAGATGAGACTTCATTTGAGGCAATCTGATAGCTTTCTGGAAAGTTGGAAGAAGGGCAAAACTGTTACTTTGTGCCATCTCCACCAAGCTGGCTCTTTAATTTTTTTATTTTTCCAACCTGGGTTCTTTAAAATGTAAAATAAAATTAATCCCTGATATAACTCCCTTGACTTCAATGGAGAAGCATTTTACTGAATTTGTTCTGTGGAATGTGAACAGGTTGTCTATAAGGAAACAAAATTAATGTAATCCCCACCTTTAAAACTTAGATTAAATTCTTTGATTTCTTTTTGGTCATCTTTCAGGACTTTCTGTGTGTGTCATTCTTGGAGCTAATGAACGTAACTGGACAGAGCTATCAAAATGTGCAGAAACTTCTTTGCAAAGTCAGTCGAGCCTGTGCCCCCAAAATGCAGACTGTAAGTATATTTGTGCTGATCTCATTTTGAAAACAATTGTCTGGGAAGAAACCTGTCGCTTCCCTGGACTACTGTATATACATTTGTTGCATGGTAGGACATTTATTTTTTTTTCTAAATTTTGTTCTCAATTTTTATTTTTTTTTCTATGTGCAGACCCACAAGACACCTGAAATTCTCAGTTTAGCTGTGTATATTGTCAGAGTATGGTAACTTCAGTTAATCATGTTAATAGCCAAGCAGGGTATTGAAGTGATTACAATGGGATGTAAGTAGCACTCCTGCAAAGTTAGACATGCTCCAGCTGAGAGCTGCTCAAGGAGGTATAGAATTTCCTCTTTTGAGAATATCAATGAAAGTGTTTCTAATTGGAGGTTTGCAACTCAAAGTGCCATTGATTAGTATAAAAGAAGAACAAGAGCATGCCAGTGGAAAGAATTTTTAAAAAAGTAATATTGAAAGCAAAGAACAGAATAATCATTAAAACTGTATCAGCAACCTTTTGAGGAATCCTATGGTCTCAACTCTTAGGTAAATGGGAATTTAGGGTGTATGTGATGCATATGTTCTTTACGTTTGTCGGCACAGAGGAAAGAGGTTTGAGCTGCACTGCTGTTGGCAGTGTGCTACATTCTGTCCTCCCAAACATAGAGAAAAGATGTCACTGATGGTATCTTGCAGGAAAGGAAACAGGGTAGAGAATTGTGGGAAACAAGATTATTTGTATGGACTGTTTTTAAATTGACAAGTTGTAATAACTTGTGAAGTCATCTGAATTGACTGAAGAGCTGTCTAGATTATTAAAGTGGATTGTTAATACTGCATTTACTCAAATTTAAGATGACCCCTCAGTAATTAGATTCTATATATGGAAAGTTTTAGAAATTTGTTATAATTTTCCAGACATAGAATCTAATTCACAGAAGTTTAGGACTAGGAAGGACCTTGTGAGATCATTGGCTCCAGCCCTCCTGCTCTGGGTAGGAAAGACTGCTGGGGTCAAATAATCCCAGCAATGTGTGTGTCCAGTCTCCTTTTGAAGATCTCCAGGGTAGGTGCCTGCACCACCCCCACAAGGAACCTATTCCAGAGCCTGGTCACACGAACTGGGAAGAAGTTTTTCCTTATATTCCTTAAGTATTGTAGTTTTTACGTAAGTTTTTTTTCATTAATTATTGGAGGTTTGCCTTGAATTTGTCAACCTCCCACTGCTAGAGCAGAGAAAATAATTTTGGGGGGTCAGTTAGTCCCTTTGTCCTCTCCCCAGCTAACTTTATCCCTCTGCAGCCCCTTCCCCACCCTCCTTACCATCAGATCCTGAACACACAGAAGTGAAGTGCACTGCCAGATCCTTATTGTCACTGAGCACATGGAAGTGAGGGGCAAATTTGAAAATACTGACTCTGAAATAAACAGATAAATAAACCCATAGACTTAGTTCACCCAGAATTGATGCATTTTATCTTTTTTTAAATAGCTGCAAGTTTTAGCACAAGTACTCCATAAACACACTGTTAAGCACTTTTGTATCTACTTATAAATAGTACAAACTATGCATATTAGTCCAAAGGCTAGTTACATTTGACAGGCTGAGAGAGAGGGCAACAGAGGGATTTCTGGGTGACCTGTTTGGGGTCCCATTTGGTGATATTTGCCAGACATTTAAGGCTAGTGAAGAAACAGGAAAGGCAAGCACAGCTCGGCTGTGGGAGTGAAGAGGAATTCAAAATGTATTGGATGTAGTGGCTCACTGTGACTTGAAAAAGAGCCAGTGTTGAGTGGGACTGAGTGCAGTTGGCGCTGTCGTGTATCTGATTCAAATGAGGTGCACTAACATGTCCTTGTTGGCTACATTTAGGGGAACCGCCATGTATCTGGGTCCATGAAGGCAGTTTTCCTTAAGCATTCCCTGGGATAACTGTTCTTCTGGGGTGGTTGAGTACCTGCCCAGGTGTTGGGGCTTAAAGCCCACTTTATGGAAATGGGAGGCTTCTCCCTAGCTTGCTTCTGTGGCCATATGGCTGAGGGCAGGTGAAACTTGGGGGCATCCAAACCAAGCATCCGGGCTTGGGCCTGCACGTAGGATGCCTGCCAAAAGACTATGGAAATATCTGAAGCTCCTGGTGGGGGTGAAGGATATTTGTGGGTTATAGGGCCACTTATGGTTCTGGACTGACTCACAGATTTGGACTTGATTTGGCTTGGAACATGAAAAAATTCTTTAAAAAAAAACAAAAACTACATTTAATCAAAATCATAGTTGGTTTCCATTATTGAGCATATGCTGCTTTTGATACCAGTTTAGTGATGGGCAGCGTGTTTAATGAGGTTTCCTTGTATATGAATGTAAGATGTGGAGTTTTTTTTCCCCAAGCTGTTTCAGAGGGGAAACCTTGTCTCATATTTGAAAGATAAAGTGGCTCACAAAAGTAACTTTGATGTAATAAACTTTTGCCGAGCATTTAATATGGTACATAATTTTGATTAAAAACACGGGTGACTGGTGCCTTCTGATCCTGTAGCTCATTGCCAACCCGGGGGGATGCGTCTCCCAGCGACCAATTGCTACCACCAGTGGCAAATCCAGAAGTGCCACTGGTGCTTCTCTCGGCGCCCCCACGTTTTTGGGGGGGGGTGGGGGGGCCACTGGCTGTTGCCTTCCACTCCCTGGCTGGTCAGGGCCAGTCTCAGGAGGGCATGTGCCTCCCCTACACGTCGCCAATGGTTAAAAATTACACTATGAAAAATTAACATGGCTTATGAAACTCAGTAGATATCAGCTAATTGAGCATAATCAATAACTGGAGGTGTCTTGAGCAGAGTTCCTGAAGGTTTGATTCTCAATCACTGTTCAGACTACCATTATTTATATCAAAAGTCTGAAATAATATAAATCTAGTTAGTCTCTGATAAAGCTTGTAGATGGCATACATTTGTCATATGCTAAATGAGAAGGCCTAGTTATTGATTCAGAGCAATCTGCCTCATTTGGCAAATAACCAGTCACTTGGACCTAGTCAGAGGTATTTAAATATATCCAAATACAAAGTCACACATCTGGAACAGAGACTGTTGGCCTGTTTACAAGATGGGGACCTGCATTCTGGCACATAGTGGTTTGGAAAAAGGAATTGGGGTCATAGGAAATCAAATTGCTATGTTGTGGTAAAACACCCTTACATAATCTTTGAAAGAAAAACTAAGGGAATATTGAGCATGAATAAAGACATATTATGTCTGTATGAGACACTATTGAGATCACTGCTAGGAAAGTATAGGATTCAGAGAAGAGCAACAGAATAACAACCTGCAATCTGGAAAGTACAACTTTATCATGAAAGGCTTAAGGAGCAAAATATATTGCATTTATCAGAAAGAAAATTAAGAAGTTATTTGATTGTGGCTTATACAGCTAAGAAAATATCTGATACTAGAGGGTTTTTAAATCCAGCAGACAAAAGCATAGCAAGATCCAAAGGCTGGAAATTGAAGTTGCAAAAATCCAAATGGGAAATTAGATTTTTTTTTTTTTAACAACGAAGATAATTAAACACTGGAAAAACTACCAAGGGATGTAGTAAATTCTCATTCACTTATAGTCTTTAAATAAAGATTATATGTCTTTCTACAAAGAATGCTATTTCAACCACAGTTTTGGGTTAAACACTAGAATCACTGGGTGACTTCCTAGAATCTGTTATACAGCAGGTCAGATTAGATGATCTGTGTAATCAGATTAAATGATACCTGTCTTTTAGCCTTGAAGTATTCATGGAGCACATTTTAGCTTGTATATATTAGCACAGTTTAAAAAGACAGTCTAATTTTATACTAATGAAAAATGTGTGTGCAAATCTTCGTTTCAATTTTCAAGCAACTCTGAGAGGTAGGTAGCCATGTTTGAAGTCGAACAGAAGGCAAGGTAGAGATGCACCTTATCGAATAACTAAATCTCTACCCTGCCTTCTGAGTTTAAATTCATCAGGATGTTACTGGAGCTCTGAATTATTGTAGCCTAAAATCTAAGTTCCATGGATTTTATACACTTTCTTTCTATAGCACCTTTTATCTGAGAACCCCTGAATTATTTTCAAATGTTAATTAAGCCTCCTGTCCAGTACATGGGGAATGTGCAGCATAAAAGAGGATAGGTGATAGGATGGGACTGTGCCTGGGCTTCTAGCAGACTGGCTCAGGTATGGGGATTTTTCACTTCCAAGTTCCCCAGTTCTGGGGCAGGCATGTGAGATTAGCTGGTAATCCCACACTTCTGTCCCAGTTCTGTAATAGCCAGTGATGCCAGGGCTTCCAGGATCTCTTCTATTGAGCTGCCAACCTGCAAGCCTTGGCTATAAGTAGAGCCACAGACTCTTGGATTCATGATGGCTGCTCTGAACTCCACATTCTTGATATTCAGCAGTGAACCCGCCAAGCATGCCAATATGAGTTTCTTCATGTTCCAAGAAACACATTTTGTTTGGGGAACACCTGTGTCAATAGCTCCAAGACAGAATTTCTGTAAAATTTGGGCTTTCAGGAAATCTTGAAAATGTTTGTTTTGGTTAAACTTTGACTGAAATAAAATAAAATTCCTGAGAGCCAAGGATCCTTTATTATTTTGGCCTTCTGTGGTCAACAGTGAAGCTGGCGCAAGAACTCGGATCTCCTGTCTACCTGTTCTGTGTCATTCCTACTTGTGCGGAAGACTGATCAAAACCTGAAAGCTGAGCATGGCTTTGGTATCAGCCCAGGCTTGTCTAAACAGTTTATGAACCTTAATGAAACTTTCAGTGAACCCAGATGGTTTTGAGTTGCCAGCATAGCTAACCACATTTTTCTTGATTTTTGGGTTTTACTGTGAACATTTTGCACAGCCCAGCTAACCACAGGTATAGCGTTTCCTTTCTCAAAAGTAGTGCTTCTGCAGATCAAAAGCAGCATGTGTTGGATTTGGAGTGGGGAGGGGGTAAAAATCTTTGGAAAGTTATTGTAAAATGTTTTTTATGATTTGACATTGTGTTGTGGGAGAAAAGTTCAAAGCTGGAGAGTAAAAACCACAGTTTATACACCAGCCTTCTTTAAATCTACTTTGTGGTATTTGGATGCAAGCGTGATGAAGGGCGAGTTGGGAAGAAAGCAGGGAAGGATGAAATGCAGTATAAGACTTGAACAGTGTCCTTATGGGCAAATATTAAATTATTCAAGGTTGCTGGAGAGAAAATGCTAGACATTCCCCTTGCCATCTGAAAAAAGCCACATTTTTTTCTGGTTGATTTTTTTTTTTTCTGCTATTGTAGGCTTATGATCTGAAAATGAAAAGGGCTGTTAATCCCTTCTCAGCCTTCTTGTCCACCACCCTGGATAGTTTGGATAAAGCCTTGCATGGTGGAGTGGCCTGCGGATCTCTCACTGAGGTAAAATTATTTAGTACTTTTCACTGTGTTAGCACTGCAAAGTCACAACTGGGTGGGGCTCCATTTTATCAGGCACTGTACACATATATGATCAAAGACAGTCTTTGACCATAAGAGTTTAAAATCTACCAAAAAAAAAAAATCTGGGGTGACTTGTTCATTTCTGTAGCATGTTTGCTATATTTTACTTCTACTTTGAAAGATCTAGAGGACAGAAAGATTTAAGAGATTTACTTACTTTATTTATTTGTTTATTTATTTTTAATTTAATTTAATTTTTTTGCTTAAAAATTTACTGTTTACTTAATTGTTTGTCCTTCACGTGAAGCTGATCACATCCAGCGGGGTGGGGAGAAGAGAAATGGGAAAGAAACAGGGAGGGGGAAAAAGAGAAAAAGAGGAAAAAGAAGGAGAGAGAGGGGACGGGGGTGGAGGCTAGGTCACATGGGTATGTAGGTGACTTATAAGCCCAATATTTGCCTTGAACAATTTGCTGCAGTAGGGGCAGTAAAGTGATGAGGTCTGAGTGCAAGAGGTTTTTGTTTTCCTGGCCACATGTTTCTTCATTGCTTTTGCCGTACGTTGCTGTTTGAAGGCCAGTGCTTTTGGATTGATGACCTCCAGGATGGACAGTTGCAAGCAGTTTGCTCCCATGACTCAGGGTCATGCCAGAACTCTTTAGGGACACCTTTAGGGTGTCCGTGTACCGCTTTGGTGCACTGCGAGAGCATACTGCATTTGACAGTTTGCTGTAGAAGATTTTCTTCAGCAGGCGAGCGTTGGGTATTCTTGCAAGGTAGCCGGCCCATCTTGGCTGCACCAGTTTCAGTAGAATGTGAATACTGGGGAGAGTTGATCTTCCCAGCACCTCCGTGTTCGGAATCTTGTCCTACCATTTGATATTTAGTATCTTTCGCAGGCAGTACAAGTGGAAGTGGTTTAGTTTCTTGACATGATGCTGGTAGGCAGTCCAGATTTTGCAGGTGTAAAGGAGGGCTGGGAAAATGATGGTGTTGTGCCAGGCACAGGTTGAAACATCATTTCGGTCTTCTTCATGTTAATAGTGAATCCAAAGTTGTTGCAGGCTGACGAGAATAGGTCCATAGACTGTTGCATGTCAGCCTGTGAGTCTGTGCATAACACAGTTGTCGGCAAAGAGGAAGTCATGAAGCATGCCTATCTGTGCTTTGGAGCTCACTTGGAGCCTGCCAAGGTTGAAGATGTCTCCATCAAAACAGTACCAGATCCCCATACCAAGGTCATTGTCTTGAAAGGCATCCAACAGCAGGCAGAGAATACTGTGCTTAAAAGGGTAGGTGTGAGCACAGAGCCCTGCTTGATGTCATTTGTGACTGGAAAGGGGTCAGAGCATTTGCCATTCACAAAGACGTGTACCATCATGCCATTGTGGAACTGTCAAATCATATTGATGAATTTTTCAGGCATCTGTACTTCATGATTTCCCAGAGGCCTTTGCGGTTCATCATGTTGAAGGCTTTTAGTTAGTTCAATGAATATGAGGAGATGGTCGATGTTCTGTTCCTGGCACTTTCCTTGAAGCTGCTGGGCTGCAAATACCATGTTGGTGGTTCCACATCCTTTTTTGAAGCTGCATTGGCTCTTGGGCAGTAGGTGGTTTAGGTGGTTGGTCAGCTGGTTGAGGAGGACTCTTGCAAGTATCTTGCCAGAGGGAGATGCCCCTGTGGTTGTCACACAGTTGGTGATTTCCTTTCCTCTTGTACAGGTGGATGATGGAGGTATCCTTCAATTCTTGAGGGACTACCTCCTGCGCCCACATAGTGCAGAAGATCTTGGTTAGCTTCTCAATGAGGTCATGACCACCTAATTTATAGATCTCCATTGGAATCGCGTCAGCTCCAGGAGCTTTACCGCTAGACATTTGTTGTATGGCCTTTTGGACTCCTCAGTTGTAGGCGGAGCTTCAAGTGAGATGTTGACAGCGATTTGAGGCAGCTTGTGTATGGCATCCATGTTGATGGAAGAGGTCTGATTTAGGACGGCACTCAAGTGTTCAGCCCGTCTCTGGAGGATCCGAGCCGTGTCAGTTAGCAGCATGGTCCAGTCGGCATACAACAGAGGTGGGGATCTGAGGACCTGTGGACCACAGACAGCCTTTAGGGCATCAAAGAACTTCTTTGCATTGTTTTGGTCAGCGTAATGCTGGATCTTGTCTGCTTTGTTCTTCAGCCATGTGTCCTGCATTCCTCACAGTTTGTGCTGAATGGTCTTCTGTATCAAGCTATAGGTGTGTTGTGCTGATGCAGACTTACCACAGAGATAGACTCTGTGAAGGTGTTGTTTCTCTTCCAGCAGTTGTTGTATCTCATCGTCATTTTCATCAAACCAGTCTTGGTGTCTGCAGACACTTGGTCCCAGGGTCTTGAGCTAAAGAGTGTATAGTTTCACAAAGCTGCTTCCAGTTGGCTTCAATGGAGCTGGAATAGAGCGGTATAGTGTGAAGCTTATCTGTGGGTCATTCACTCCCTTGGGCAGGTAGGTCAGCTTCTTGGCGAGGCTGTCTTGTATAGCAAAGCCGACACCTGCTTCCCATTTGGCTTCACTGCCACGACCACTCCAGAAGAATGTGTAACCAGATTTTCCTTCTGTGAGCTGCCCTTTGTCGGGTAGGCAAGTCTCACTGTGGGCAGCAATCTGGACATTGTGTCTCCCCAGTTCTCTCCTAATGAGGGCAGTTCTCCTTTCAGGTCTGTTGGTGTTTCCGTTGGTCAACATACACACGTTCCATGCACCCAGCTTGAGAGGGATTGATTTCTTTCCCTTTTGACTGCTGTAGTGGGACCCCTGCCAGCTTCAGTATGCTGGCCAGGATGAGGTGAAGCAGACAATGTTTGGGGCATCCTTTCTGGCCCCTTCCTCATTCTAGGAGGTGAGCAGTGTGGTTCCGAATAGGGCTGCTCAGTCACTCAGGGGGCTGCCAAGTTCTACTGCTGCTTCTGTCCAGTAGAACGTGACCCAAAGCCCTGAACCGCCTGCGGCCAGGTTTGCAGCTGCACCTTCCAGTGTGTCCACACCTGTTGCTTTGTTGCTTGCCTGTCACCACAGGGCTTGTGCTGGATGTGAGTTGCACAGGATTTAGATTTAAGTGAGGAAGAGTGGTGCAGCGTCGGCCTCATTCTCTCGTCTGAGCCAATTGGTAACTAGCGGCAGGACTGTGTCAAGATGGCTGGAGATTGGCCCAGATACAGTGGATGATCAGGACACCTTTTGTACCCTGTCCTGCTCTGCGCAATCTATGGCACGGTGCTGTACTGCCATCAGGGCCACTGGACCATACAAGGGTCTCATCTGCCCAGCAGCTGGAATTAGACTTTGCATGCAGGGATAGGCATGTCCCTATGTCCCCAGAGGTCTAAGACTGACTGGGTACCCTAACCTGATTTGGCCTGCCCTTTGAGGCACTTTACCAGGGTGTGGCTGCTGTCACATTCAGACAGCTACTTGGAGGCACAGGGGAGAGTTGAGTGCTAGTGAGGACCAACCGAGAAAGAGGCACTCA